CTCTCAGCAGCAGTTAGCAGTTGTCGCTGTGCTAATTATCTCCCTCAGTTGTTGCACTTTTTAATTTTCACAATTGTTGTTCTTAAGCGGGCGGTGCATATGGTGTTTTGGAAATCCAAAATAGCTGCTTAGTTCCTTGGCTTGGAGTCACATCATTATTTCAGTGCAACTTCCTGACAATTTGGGCCCCGAGTGCCGATTGTTAGGATGCTGGCATTTTGCCTCGGCTGTCAGCAGATCCCATTGTCCTGTGTCAAGAAACCACTAACAAAAAAAAAACCAAAACAAAAAAACTGTTCGCTTACTTCCAATAATTTGTGTTTTTCTGAGATTTGAGTGATATTGCATGGCCTTTGGATAGTGCAGTGCTGTGCGAGACAGCGGGGGAGTTCTTTTTGTTATCCAGCTCTGCATTATTTATGAATTTTCATTCCAGGAATGCAGTAGCCCCTGGCACTGTAATGCTCCCCTCTCCCATGGAATCGCTCACACTCTTCCCTTCTGACCCACAAGTTTGTCCACAAAACTCATTTTCCTTAATAAAATTGGGGTCATGAATTAGCGAGAGGACAATGTGAAATGCATCAGAGGTTGTTTATTATATAGAGTACAACACTCAGTGCTGCAGCCAGGCAAAATGTGGCCCGGTGGGAGTTTTTATCCCTCTCTCTCCTCTTCTTCCTCTCGCTCTCTCTCTGCATGTCCATCATATAGTAGGAATGTAATTGCTGGAAAAGCATAAAATGTGTTTGTGTTCGCCACCCGGCTGATAATTTCAAAGTAAAAGCGCTCACGCCAGCCAGCTAATCAGAGTGCTAGACCCCTAGACTTGCAGACACAAAAACACATATACACACACACACACACACACACATACGCAGCGTAGACACTTAGAGATGTAACCACTGTACAACTTCAAATATTTACCTTCTTGCTGCAATGCTGCTCCATCCTCAAGAGGAATTGTTTAACAAATCCTGCAGTGCTAATTAGCGTTTCCTCTATTCATTCGCCTGTGGTTGGCCTCTGCAGCAAGGAAATTGCCAGCCTGTGATTTTTTTTTCTTTTTTTTGAAAAAAGGAAATACAAAAGCAATATAGTGCTACCAAATTACCCTATAAAAACCTCACATAGTGAGCCCATCATTTAGACTTGACAATTCAGGCACTTGGAATAAGAAAGCAGGGTTGGTACCAAAGTGATTACTGTTAAAAAAGCAGTAAATATGAAAATGGTTCAGTTGATGGCTTTGCAGACTCATTAACAGCTAATTATAAAAACAAGATTAATCAAAACAGTTGAACTCTTAGATATTTGGTCGCCATTTATTGATAAATATCACAAAATGTTACTTCAGTAAGTATCATGTATTGTATTTTTCTAGTAACTGACCATTATTAAGAATTCAATAGTTACATATTAAGCTTTGAAGATTTTTTTTACTAGTGAGTGTGTGTGTGTCTAAACCAAAACCTGGACCGACAGCAACAGAGAAACAGATAGAAATAGTAACCAAAATCACCTTCCTTGCCAATGCTACACACACATGCACACACATACACACACACACACACCTACAGACGCATAGATACAGTATATGCCGGAGGCACTCTTCTTTAAAGTACTCTGCTAAGTCTCAACTGGCATCTCCAGCCCTCTGTTCTCTCTTGTCGTATTCCATTGGGCTATGGGCAACAGTCAGGAACTATGTACAGTTCAATAACTACTCAGGTGTTATGTGAGATTTGTATGACAAAAATGCAATCACAGCCTCCCTTCACACTCCTCCACTTTCATCCTGGTCCCCCTCCTTTCAGATTTCTAGTCTGCACACAGAAGGATCAGAACCACGAGAGGCTGGCTGGTCAAGCCCACTCTACCTCTCTTTAAAATATGAGATTAATTTGTCAAGAGGTGTGTGTGTGTGTGTGTGTGTGTGAAGACCAGCGCTGATGGCGCACACCTAGACAGAAATTTGAGATAGAGAAGCTGTCAGAATATTTTTAATTTCAAACCTTAGCACGTGCGCGTTAAGGTTTGAGGACCTAATTTTGCGTATTTATGTTGAATTATATTACACACAGGGATACAGCAGACAATCTTTTTCATCGCTTATTAATACATTTTCTTGCTTTTTAAAAAAAATAAATAAATATGGTTCTTAGAATTTGTAGTGATGCCTTTAAATGTCAGCCCAAGAGCCCCAAGCGCAAACATACAAAAACAACAAGTTAATGTTAGAAGGAGCCATAACCTCGCAATATGGAATATTTTTGCTTGAGTAATTACTTTTAACCCTAGCAGATTTATTTCAGTCAATCGCTGAGCTATTTCGGTGTAATTCTTTCTTTCATGACAGTATTTTATTTTCTGATATTGCTGTACTGGAACTATCATAAAAAATGACAATGCAGTATCTAATGACACACATAGAAAGCACTTCTACATGGACACGCATCCCACTGTAAAATCTTTTATTAATCCAGTCAGCAGACAACTTTAGCAGAAGAAAAATCAATTTTTGTTTCTTTCCCAATTTATTACCACATAAATTGTCCTTCACCTCCAGGTCCGCATCTTGGAATTAGTGTCAAAATAATTAAGTTTAAACCAATTATATCATATCCTGCATTTGTTCACACAGAGGACAAAGGGGCAGCTGGCACTGGCTAGCTTATCGCCTGCAGACACGGGAGCCATCAGGAGAGGGTACCGGCTGAAATTGGATGCGTCAGATATGCCGAAAAACTGCGCACGATCCACCTTGAGGGTGAAGCAAACAGCCATGGTTTAGCCAAGTTACTAACTGGAGACTAAGTCGCCTTCACGTCTGCTCCATATTAGCGCACAATGAAGCTCAACAGCACGTCACACACCTACAGTTGCACCTCAAGACCGTGATTAATAACTCAATATGAATGAGTTGCATCAGTAGCTTTGTTGCATGCCCATGAAATGATTTATTTAGCACTATAAAACACAGTGATA